TTACTACACGCTGAGGGGTGAGAGTACTTAGTTCTAGCTCATGCATGCCCAGCCCAGCCCCTCACAGGAGCTGAAGATGGGTCACCAGCTTTGTGTCTGCTGTTCTCTCCCTCCCTGCCCACCTCCCCTGCACCCTCTCTGTCAAAGCAGGGTCCAGCCTAGCCTTCAACTGGACACTGACTTGGCCCTGGGTACATTTGACTCTTGGGGGTCGGGCTCAGAGACGGACTCTGGCTGGTTTAGGCCAAAAGAGGGACTTCAGGCAGTAAGGATTCGTAGGGTCTGAAAGTCGGTCCAGGCAGGGGCAAGGCCTGGTAGGCACAGCCTTCGGGTTCTGGGCACCTCTGTCCACAGTCCCTGCATTTAAGTCAACCCTGGAAGGCCACAGCTTCTTCTGGCTTCAGAAGACAGAGCCCTGCTCAAGGGGAAGGGGGTGTGGCTGGTACCTGACAAGGGCGACCCAAATGCCAAGAGGGCTGGGCAGGGAAGGGCTCTGCTACGAGGACACGGCAGGCCCTTCCAGGAGGGGATGCTCCGGAAGGTGCAGGGCAGGAGTAGCAGAAATGCAGGGCAGGACTGTGGGCTGCCCTCGCCTGCTGGTGGCCAGGCCACCCCTTGTGAGAAATGGAAGGATCCATACGCAGACACAGCCTCTGGGCTGCAGAGCTGCTGAGTTATCCGTTTAGATACAGTAGACGTTACCAGGCCGTGCTGGGCCATGGCGAGGGCCCTAGCGGGTCCTTCCCCTGAAGCTCCCAGGGTCACCCCTCTGTCCCCCAGGCACCGACAGTGTTCCCAGGCGGGCTGTTTCAGGAGGTTCTGGCAGTGGCAGGCACATCTGTGGGGCCACCGTGAGACCAGGCTGGTTTCTGGAGGGGTGGCTGGTGGCCACTGCCCCTTGTGCTGCTGTCAAGAGAGAAGGGGTGTGGCTCCCTTGGAGTTAGTGGTTCTGGGAACAGGAGTCGCTCCAGGGGCGGTTCCAGTGGGAAGTACCTGGGAGGCGTGTGTGCACGCTAATGCAGGTGCACGGTGCCTTCTTACTCTCTTTTCTGTCTTTTCTCCCCTATACTGGGGATTGAACCCAGGGACACTACCATTGAGCTACTTTCAGACCTTTTTTTTTTTTTTTAAAAAACAAGGGTCTTGCTAGGTTGTTCAGGCTGAACTTGTGATCCTCCTGCCTCAGCCTTCTGAGCAGCTGGGATTATGTGCGTGTCACTATGCGTGGCCTTTTCTGTCCTTGATTGTCACCACTGCAACCTTGAAAAATACCTGCCAGTCTTTGTGTGAGAGTCTGCGGAGACGACAAGGCTGAGTGACAGCCTAGCTCCCGTGGAGCTGCAGATGGGGGAGAAGCAGGACGCAGACTTGTGTTTCCTGTGAAGCCCTCAAAGTGCGGTGTCAGTGTTTTGAATGCCTTAAATGCAAAATAACACAGTATGGCTGTTCAGCCCTTAGATTCTTATAAATTTTTAACTTTTAATTTCCATGTCTAGTGACTGTTTCACCATAAACCAAACAGTGAAGAGCAGGGCATAGAAGAAAGAGGTAGGGGAGGCATTTTGTAATCCACCGTGGCCTCAGGACTGTTGACGTGACTGCCAGGCTCTGGGCTCCAGGTGGCCCCTGAGGTCTGGGGCAAAGCCCTCCCTGGGAGCTTCTCTCCCTCTCATGGGGAGTACCCGGGGGGTGTGGCTCAGGCCCAGACTGCAGAACAAGAGTGGGAGTCGGGGAGCCCCACACCCTTGCAAGACATGAGTCAGGACAGACACGGGGGACAGATGGGCCACCATTAGGCTCCCAACTGAGCACTGTCAGATCAGGGCACTTGGGAGATTTCTGTAATGTTTCTCAAGTTGAGAGCGGGGACTGATTCTTATTAATAAAGATTACATGTGAAAACAGATACACTTACCACTGGCAGGAAAATCAAAGTCCTGGAAAAAACTCAGCAAAACAGCTCATATTCTGTGCCTTGTTTTCTTGTCGCTTTTCTTCTGCAGTTCTCTGGACGGATTGCTCTTGGAAGGCATACTAAAATTCTTCAGGCCAGGGGCCTCTGGGGGAAGTTAATGACATCTCGGGGTGACTAGTGAGTGGCTTCAGCGTGGTCACCCACCAGGTTGGGGGGTGGCCGTTCCCTGGTCATCTGTAGGCCTGGGTGCTCACCTGCTGGTCTTGAGGGGTCAGGCATTTGACTTGGTGATGGCCGTCTGTTGATTTGGGGTGTCCTCCGTTGGCCTTGTGGAGTCACCCAACGGGGTTGCAGGCAGGCCCTGGCCTTGGGAGTCGTGCTGCTCAGGGTCATCAGTGTGACACATGTGTGCATTTCACAGTACTTAGTGGACATGGGTTGATTCTGGCAAGGAATGTGTCAGAAGTCTCCATCTGAGACCACTGTCACTTGGAGGTCTCTGTGGGAGAAAACCTGGCTTAAGTGGCCTTGCAGTTGTCTCTGTGGGCCGTAGAGCCCTTCCAGGGGGCACCTGGGGCCCATTGGCTCTGCATGGCTTCTGTGTCTTTCTGTCACCTGGTGACCTTCCGCCGGGGACTGGCTGAAGAAGAGAGCCGACTTCCGGTGTGCAGAGAGTCCCTCAGTCCCAGAGGGCCACTCCTCAGCAGGCTGTGCATGGCTTTATGGTCACGTTAGGTCCCACTGGGATTACCAGGCCGGGGGCGTGGGTCATAGGAGGCTGCCCTGAGGTGGTGTCTGTCTCTGCTTCCCCCAGTGGGGCCTGCCCAGGAGATGTCCTTCCCACAGGACCTGGGTACTGGGCCCCAAAGCTGCCTTCTCTCCCCGGGCCTTGGTTCCTCATCTGGAAAACACGTGGGCTGGACAAAGGGGCCGCTGTCCCCACTGCCGGGCTGGGCGCTGAGGCCCAGCGAGCCGGACAGGACGCTGGGACCCTGCCGAGCTTCATTCCCAAGCTTTCTGCAGTTCTCATAGTGACGTGGGTCGGAGACCGCAGTCTCCGCTGAAACCACACACGGGAAATGTCCGCGACAGTGTCCTGGCAGTAACTTACTGCTGCACGCATTCTCACCTCGTGCAGGGACAGGGGCTGTCCCCGCCCTTCCCAGCGGCCTGTCCGGAGGACATGTCTGAGTCGTGGGGTCACCAGGCACTCAGCACGCGAGCATTCGCTGACCACGCCGGAGCCGCAGCGCCCAGGGCCGGGATGAGTCAGACTGAGGCCCAGACTTCCCACCGGGGCTCCTCGGTCCTCTCTCGGCCTTGGTGACCTCATTCTGCTCGCTCCCACGGCCCTTGTGGGCCTCTTCCTGCTTTCCTGTGTCTCTCACAGCGAATGGCCTCCCCTTCGCCCGGCTTCCCACCTGGAACCCTACATTTGTTTCCCATGGCAAAAGGGTGGACATTTGTTATCTTGTAGGCTGCAGTCAACGTGGCCTGCCTGAAATCGAGGCGCTTTCTGGGTGGCTCCCCTGGCGCTGCTAGGGGAAGCCGTGGCCGGGCTCCTCCAGCTTCTGTGGCTGCCAGTGTCCCTTGGCTTGTGTTTGCAGTGTTCCTGTCTCCGCCTCCGTGGTCACAGTGGCTCCTCCTCATCCACGTGCCTTCATGCTGCAGCAGAGTGGATGTGTGACTACACCCAGGGCCCACCCTGATCACCCAGCACAGTGAGCCGCAGAGCCTTTGACGTGGGCCCTCTGCGAATTCCCTCTTTACCTTATGCACTGCTGTGCCGGGGCGGGGATGAGGACCTGGATGATTTGGGGGCTGTTTCTCAGCCAGCCACAGACCGGAGCCCTGGGTCAGCCCCGAGGCCTGGTCTGCATTCTGCTTCCTGGTCCCTCGTATCGCCTGTCCAGGTGCCTGGTCTCCAGCTCCAGACCCAGTGTGTCCACCAGGCTGTTGTCCCCCGACTGTCTGACTGCCACTCCGTACCTTCCCTTGGTGCTGCAGCTTTTCCTGTCGGCTGTGGCCTGCCTCTGCCTCTTTGTCTCTGGCTGCTTGTCTGGCCAGTGTGAAGGGTTGGGGGAGATGCCTGATGCTATGCTCTGTGTCCCTCTGCGTCTCCACCAGCCCCTGCTGCTGTTTGGAGCTGCCTCTTCCCAGTGAGCTGTTTACGTTACCGACTGGCACTGTGGCTGCCCCAGAGCACCAACGGGCTGAGTGTGCTGGGTGAATGGCCCTCGTGGCAGATGTCAGCATGGCAGTGCCAACTCATCTGTCCTTGTAGGCTCCCAGCTAGCAGCACGACAGGGCACCCTGAGGTCAGGGAGAGGAGGGCAGCCTCCCAGCCAAGATGATGATGTGGCAGAGGCCACGGGGTTATTTGGGAGTGTGGTTTCCTAACATCTGGTTGGTGACTCAGGGCTGCATGCTGAGAGCACAGCACCGATCAAACAGGGTGCCAGTTAAGCCAAGTGTTGGGTGGGCAATGGAAATGCCACCCTTTCCCATTTTCTGGGAGAATCTGGGAATCCAGTCCCTGATGTGGAATCTTGTGGTTCTTACATCTGAAGTCAAGCTTTTAAAAACCTACTGTGGGTCTAAAAGAAATATGCCTGCAGGTTGGATACTGAGCCCCCAACAGGAGACCTTTGGCTTACAGATAACGGATCAAAAATTGGAGTAGGAGAGGTAGTCATGAGATAGGTAGATGCAGCAGGGGTGGCAGAATAGCCCTAAGGAGGGCAGCACCATGTGCCCACGGCAGAAGGGGCAGCTGGGAGGATCTGAACCAGGTATTGAAGGGGGATCAGGGGTTTTCCAGGTGGCCAAGGGTGAAAGGTGGGAACAGGGACGCCCACACTGAGGGTGTGGCAGGTTCAAGAACCAGGTGGCTCAGCTGCACGCCTGTGATCTGGTGACTTACGTGAGGCTGGGAGAACAGGGACTGCTGAGCCCTCAGTGCCATGGGACAGGGCAGCCTGAATCCAGCAGACACAGGAAGGGCCATTCTGGTCGTGGGAGCGGCAGGACCCTTGCCTGGATGGTCTGTTCTTGCACCGGGGTGGGCTGAGCACAGGCAGTGACCATGGGCATATATCTGTCCAAGGCACCTCACGTGAGGTGGGGTGTAGCCTCTTGGTCAGAGCTTGCATTGGAATTGCTTTTTGAAAATGTGAAATTTCATCATTTTATAAGTATTGTTTGGCCCAAATTGAGTATGTCTGTCGGTGGATTCAGCTCCCTGCTGAGGTTTCTGACTTTTGTCTTGAACTTTGGGCCCCTGGGGTTGGCGTGGCCCTTGGCCTATACCTGATGGTTCTCGGTGTCCTCCTAGGGCCACAGACAGGCCCATGGCTGCCCTTGAATGCCTCTGTCCCAGCACCACAACTTTCTTGGAAGGAGGGTGAGGTGTGGGGGTGGGGAGATTGCCCACCTCTGCCCCCAGCCCGACAGGGCCAGCTGAGGATGGGGAAGGAGCTACCCTCTGCCACCCCGCTGCTCCCCTCTTCTCTGTTGTGTGCCAGGAGTGTGAACCTCTCTGCTTTGCCTCTGCAGGCCGGACTGATCCGCATGGAGGAGGAGGAGTTCTTCATCGAGCCCCTGGACAAGGGGCTGGTGGCGCAGGAGGCCGAGCAGGGCCGCGTGCACATGGTGTACCGCCGACCACCCACGCCCGGACTCCCGCTTCCCATGGGCCCCCAGGCACAGGACACAGGTGAGTCTGCTGCGGCTGTCCACGTCCTGGTCCCAGGGAGCCTCCCAGGGTACAGAGTCTCCCCTCTGCAGGCCAAGCTGGGCCCCAGTGCTGCCTGGCTGCCTGTGTGGCACAACAGGTGCTGGGCATCGGGGCCGGAGCCTCTGCCCTGGGTACACGAGGGTGAAAAACAGCCTGAGGACCCGGGGTCCTTGAAAAGGAGCAAAGGTCGTTCAAGGCCCTGCCTCGTGTTGCCCAAGCACTGATGTCACTGGGGAGTGGGGTGGCCCAGACCAGGCCTGCACGCTTGGCCGAGTGCCCACCCACCTACCCCTCTGCTGCCTCTGGGCTGCATGGCCCTGTGACGGCGTCTGCCCCCGTCCCCTCCCGACTGCTCACAGGGAGAGGCCCAAGTGTGAGGGATGAGACCCATAAAGACCCTGGGTGCTGCCAGCTGCCTGAGCAGCTTCTGCACCTCTGTGGGATTTTGTCTTTTCCAACTTGGGACTGTTGTGTTCTTTGGGCCTCGGAGCATTAGGAGCTGCTGGGCAGTCAGATGACCGGCACCCGGCAGTCACCTGGTGGTCACCTGGTGGTGTGCTTGCTGTGGTGGCCGGAACCACTCCAGGTCTCATGCTGAGCTGTGTGAGGCCTCAGGGTCTGCCGAGGTCCTGCAGAGGCCAATATGTGGATGGGCCCGCTCCTCTGGCCTGGCTCTCATGGTGTGCGTGGGCAGCAGTGCGTCCGCCCTCAGCCTCTGGCCTTGTGCTCTGAGCTGAGGAAGGTCCGGCAGGGGGCCTGGGGTCCGGGCCAGGCCATCTGCACGGTGCCCACAGCCGGCGGGCCAGCCCTGTGCTGTGATTTGCTGCCGCATGCCCTTCCCCAGCAGCCTGACTCCAGACCTCCCTAACCCCTGGCTGCCAGATCAATTGGGTGCAGCCCAGCAGGGCACCACTGTCATTTCAGGAAGCTGTGTCAGATCCCTTTGCAGAGGGATTGTTCCGTTAGGGAGCCTGGTGCGCAGTGAGCCGATTGATATCTCTGGCGGCCCCTTCTGCCTGGTCATGAATCGTCCTCTGCCGGGCACTAACTGTTCAGCCTCTGCAGCTTTAGCCTCAGCCCCTCCTGCCCTTCCCAACCTTGGGCCTGTGTGTGTGTCTGAACCATGGTGGGCAAGAGTGAAAATGGCCCCCAGCCAGCCCCAGCCTAGCTCCTTGCAAGCCTGGGCCTCTGACCTTGCTTTGCTCTATCCTCTGCCGGGGTCTCAGAGAGCTCAGGGATGGCCACTTTGCGTCCCGGGATTGGCACTCTTGCTCTGGCCTCTGCTGGGCTCTGGGTGGCTCTGGCTCCTCCTCTCCTGGCTCCAGCATTGGCGGGGGGCAGAGCCTGCAGAGTGGCCTTCCAGGTACCACAGGCTGTGTCTGGACCCAAGTTCAGCAGGGTGCTTACCTTCCTGAACATGGCCGCCCTTCCCCATGGCCTGTCTCGTTGGCTCGGCTTTATTTTGTGGACTTCTGCCAGTGTTTTGGCATCTTCTACTGAATCCTCCCGGTTCACATATCTCTGATGAGAACTTGGAACTGAGAACACAGGAAAGGAATTTCAAACTCAGAGTGAGCCCAGAAACCACTGGCCTTAGAATAGTCTGGCTGAGGCCGCCCAGTCAGGTTGGGGTGAGGCTGGCCGGGTGTGGGGCATGGTTGGTAACGGGCCATTGTGGCGGAGGTGGACCTGAGATTCCAGCCCAGCGTGCGGTAGCCCAGGCTGTGGCTGGGGGTGGGCCACGGGCTCCGGGCTGCGGCTCAGTCCCCTTCCTTCGTCCAGTGTCAGCCTGACCCACGTGAGCGACGCCGGCCTGGGAGAGCCGCCTAATGGTTCCCCCGGCCAGAGCGGGGCTGGCTCACTCCCCACTGTAGGGGTCTTGACAGACACTGCATGCTGGTGCTGGGCTAAGGGCCCCGCGTGACCTCAGATGGCTCAGTTTCCCATGGGCCTTGGCTCTGGAGACGCTCAAAAGCTGTGTCCTGGGGCTGGGTGGACCGAGAGGATGCGGTTTGCTGGGCACAGAACCCTAGGGCCTCAGAGCAGAGGGTGTGCAGACTAGGGTGAGAGCAGACTGTTACAGAAGCAGGGTTGCCCGTGTTCACCACCACCACATGCGGCCATTGTGCTTTCTGCTGTCTGCTGTGTTGTGCTGCACCAAGGCCCTTCATTGCAATGCTAGGACCGGGCTGTTGGACCCTCCAGCCCTCAGAATCACGAGCCAAGCAAGACCCTTGACTTCAAATTATTCTCCTTAGCCAGGCAGGGTGGTGCACCCCTGTAGTCCCAGCACTTGAGAGGCTGAGGCAGCAGGATCAAGGTTAAGGATCTGAGCTCAAGGTCAGCCTGGGCGACATAGAGGGTTCAAGTCTAAACTATACAGTGAAACCCAGTCTCAAAAATAAATAAGTAAAAATGAATTATCCTTCCTCAGGTATTTTTTGTTTGTTTGTTTGTTTTTGGTACTGCGGATCGAACTCAGGACCTTCTGCTTTCAAGATAGGCAGCAGCAGCACTGAGCTACGTCCCCAGCCCTCTTCAGTTATTTTAAATAAATAAGGTATAGATTACCCTTCCTCAGATATTGTGTTATAGCAGCTCCAAATGGACATGGACACAAGTGTATTAATCTGTGTTTTTTTTTCCTATACTGAAATATCTGAGAAAGGCTAACTTTGTAAGGGAAGAGTCTTACTTAGCTCATAGTTTTGGAGACTCGAAGTCCAAGCTCGGGTCCTGTGGAGAAGGGCCGACAGCGCTGGGGTGCAGTGGCAGTGGCAGGCACGTGTGCAGCATGAGGTCACACCTCTGCTGAGGTCCAGAGGCCCCGCCGTGTGGTAATGCCAGCACCCGGGACCACGCTTCCGACGCACACGCCTCGGGAGAGAGTGCGTCCACAGGCCGGAGTGTGGCCCTTCCTTCCGGAGAGTTCTGCTGGCTCCAGTCTGTCCACACGGCCCAGGCTGAAGCGGCAGCGGGAGCCTGAGTAGGTGCCTTCTCCCCAGGTGCCTTCTGGGAGTGGGTTTGAAGACATGTACCCTGGGAAAGGGACACGCCTGTCCTGGGCTTTGGGCTCCGTGCTTCCTGTAAGGGCTCCTGGAGCTGATCGCCGCCTCCTCCGGGTCCAAGTTGGTTGTCGCGATTCCCAGAGAAGCCAGGGCTGCCTGGGTGCCCTCAGGGGCTCGCAGTTACCATTTTCACTAAGTCTGCACCTGGGGAAATGGACGAAAAATGAGGGTTTTGACACTGTGGCACTGACTCTGACCAGTTGGGTGTGTGTGACACTGGCAGTCGGTGCAGTTGTGTTGCCTTGGCTCTGGAGACTTCTGTAGAGAAGGACAGAGAATTGAGGGAGAAGACCCCTCTCCTGTCCAGCCATGCGGGGGCTGTAGTGCTGCTCTCTTGGTGCTGTGGGGCAGGCAGGTAGAGCTGGAAGGCTGAGGCACCAGGGTGGTCTCTTGGGGAGTGTCCCCCACACCTTCTCGGGCCATAGGCCTTTTTCAGGGTGACAGGTGACCCGAGCCTGTCCTCTGCCTCCTTGAGGCCAACCTTGTGCCCATAGACGCTATGTGGGGGCAGGGACATTGTACAACAGTATCCTCTTGTGTGTGTGTGTGTGTGTGTGTGTGTGTGTGCACGCGCGCATGTGCTCTCTCTCACACATGCATGTGCACAGATGTGGCTTGGAGCTCGGAGCCCGTCCCTGCATCCTGCCTGCGGCTGAGGAAGGAAGGCTGGGCTCTGGCTGTCACCAGGTGGAGGGGCTTAGGGCAGTAAGTTTGCTCTTGGGACTGAAAGTCTAAAGTCTGGCTCCCTGGGTTGCAGTTAAGATGTGGTCACAGTCTGCCTCTTGTAGGAGTGCCCACGCTTGAGTTGGGGTTTCATCCAGATAATCCGTCTCAAGATTCCCAGTCTAACCACTTTCTCAGAGAGGCCATGCTCTGGAGAGACTGGTTCTGCTGCTGGCCTTTGGGCCTGGCTGCACCTTCACCGGGCTGGTTGGGGTTCTGCAGAGTTCACAGTCAAATGCCAGGCATCTGCAGAGGGCCTTCCTGTCTCAGGACAGGAGCTCAAACTCAGAGGCCTGCAGGAGCTGTCAGTACCAGTGAGGCCAGCGGCATAGAAAAAGAAAAAAAAAAAAGAACCACCCCACCCTCTGCTTTTACTTCCCTACTTTTGATATAAGCACCGGGGACAGAGGAGACAGTTGTGTGAAAATGAAGACAGCAGCGTGCGTGCGTGAGGCTGGCTGCATGTGGCATTGGCCCTGGCTGTGCTGTGGACACGGGGCAGCCCATTGTCAGCACTCTGGCCTTGACTGGTGGAAGGGTAGGTCTGGAAAACTCATTATCTTGCTGTCCAGAGAATTCAGATAGCATGATTTTTATGGGAACTTTCCTGATTTTAAAGGGTGGCTTCAAATATGTGAAAAGCACCATCTGGCCAGATAGAGCACACGCTTCCCGCCGGCCCCCGCCTGGAGGTGCAGCGGCAGAAGCGTCCTCTGCCTCTTCTGGGGCTGCCCTCCTGGGGCCGGGCATGCTAAGGGCAGAGGAGGGCAGGTGGTTCCCTTGGCCAGGCCGCCATGCACACCGGCCCCGGCCGAGGGAAGCCAGCCCTGTGCCAGTGACCTTGGCTGCCTCAGCGGCCGGTGCCAAGCCTTTGCCCACCGCTGTCAGGCTGCAGTGTCCTCCCTGATGGGCGGAGCAGGCACGGCACCGTAGGAGCCTGTGCCCTGCCGTGGCCAAGGCCAGCCTGCCAGGGAGTGTGAGCAGGGGCGCTGTGCAGAGCGGTTCCCGGGCCTTCCCAGGCAGCCCGGGAAGCCAGCCCCTCCCGACCTGACCTGAATTCATCCTGTTGCTCTGCCGTGAGCCTGATAGGCATTTTCCAGGCTGCCGGGAGCTCAGCTCGCTTCCAACATGTGGGGCGGAGTGCTGAGGGCAGGGCTGATGCTGGGGTGGTGTGGAGACTGCAGCCTT